AAAAAGTTTTCTGGTGGTTCATCTTAAACTGGAAAAAATGGAACCACAATAAAACAGACTGTTGGTGAAAAAAGTGTTTTAGATTATAAATGCTTTAAAATAAATGCTATAAAATAATTTAGATTATAAATGCTTAGGAATTAGGTATCAGAATGCTGAATATTTATTGCTGCTGCTCCTGATGACTGAATGTTTATTTCTTTTTGTGTGCCAGAACATAAAAAGAAACCATCTTCAAAGACTACATCTTCTCCTGGTATTTCTATGCCTCCAGAGATTAAGACTGCATGGAAATCATGGTCCCCATGTGGACAGATCTCTTGTAGAGGCATGTGATTGACTTTTGAGCCTTTTCGCAGCATTACCTCTGTAAAATAAGAGTTGTACATTGATCTTTTTACTTGCATAGATCTTGTTCAAATTTTCTCTATGTTATAAACAAGCAAAGACATCCCATGCAATATGTTGGAATTGAAACGATTTTGCATCTTTATGCTTGTCAACACTGAGTTGAGAATTACAACTTGACTAACTCACATATTTATTTTGTAGTATTTGTATTCACTTATGTTCTGAAGGAGGTTAGTGATCAGGAATGGAAACCTCCCTACTTAAAAATTTAATGGCACAGAAGGCATATCTGGGAACAGAGGAGAGGAGAGATGAGGAGAGAGAAAAAGGCAATTAACGTTCTAAAAGAAAATTGCTAGGTATCACTGCAAAATCTCCTCTCAAAGACTAAATGTTCTCTGAGAAAATCTTTAAAATATTAGAGATAATCTTTTGGTCTCAGACTTCCTTAAGAAGACGTTGAATCTTCAAGAAGTTTTCTGAGTACATAAATTTTTGAGATGCAGATCTCACTGTTAACCTTGTTAATCTATGACCAGAAATGACAAAAAATGACCAAGCAGGGGTTCTCAACATTTTTATGTGAAGATTGATATGAAGAGAGACTGTCTTGTGATATGATGTCCTTGTGGAAATCACAGGAGAGCAGCGTCATGAACGCTTCAATGAAAAATGTTGACAATAATTACATGCTGATGGCACGTGGAAGCAGAGGAGAATCAGCATTTAGGACTCTGAGTATTCTCATGGGTTCATGGCCACTCAATTAGAAATTTTTCTCTAGCACATTGAGATGATTGCTGTATGAACCCATAGATACCTAAGCTCATAATATATAGACAGATAGATCACTACACTTGATCTGAACTTTAACTATTTAATGATTTGGAATCTAGTGTAGAAATAATCTTATCTAAATTTGATGCTTTGGAAAGGTGAGGGCTTTTTACAATTTAACATTAATGAATTCCATCAGTTTGAAATTTGTCATGTGGTTTGCTCGTATTGCATTCTTCAAGAAGAAAAACTCCAATATAAATATTAGAAGTCAACTAGAAAGGAAAGAGCCGCACTATTAATACAATGGCAGATAATTGCTATCCTGATGTTTCTTAATGACATTTTGCCTAGTATGCAATGCCAACACGTGTTTGCTTTCCCAGCTGTAGAATCATAGATCCTATCAATAGTCTAAGTCAATAGTTTTCTACATTTTCTCCTGGTGTCATTAGCTATCTGTGCTGAACTATTTTCAGACTCTAGTACTGCTGTGTGTATGGCTGAAAGAGTTATTCTTCCATTTTTCCTTGGAATAGAGAGGATAGCCAGTACTGAAGGTGGGTGCTTAGTGCTTTCTTCACAAAGTGATATTTAATGTCACATTAATGTTGTTGTTCATCACTTTACCTATTATTTGTTTTTGACCAGGACATAGCTGTGAAACAGCTGGATGCAGTTCAACACTCAAGACTGCAGAAATGTTAGGAAGCTGAGGAAACCCGCAGGAAGACATGGAAAATAACATATCTGCACTCTAAAGATGTGCGACTGCCAGCTGTGATTAAAGTTCAAATTTATGGAGAACTACATATTCCTTGCTGCTCTCAGCTAGCCATGGCAGTTTCTGCTACCCAGTAAGATATGAATATTTCTTTAGGAGGAGGATATTGTGCCTAACAATAGGTTAGATACTGGTATGTGATGTATTTTTTACTGTGCCGTACCTTATCTAGAAAAATAAAGAGAAGCTGTGGAGAAATGAGCAGCCTCTTTTTTTATTTATTTTTTATTTTTGTATTTTTCCCTTGTAATAACGTTACTGCATAGATTCGTAGAATTCTATCATAATGCATAACGTCCGTGTATTTAATGTCCGTGTATTTCCACACACAGTCTGAGGCATAGGTTTTGGTCTATACAACTCCTAAGTCAGAGAGGGACTTTTCTCTGTGTCCTTATACAGCTTCTGGAATGGCAGGGATAGTGAGAGCACAACAGGTGTAACACTAATTGTTCTAAAATGCAAAGAGCTGCCAGCTGAGAGTTTTCTGCAAAAAACTCTCAAATTTACAACCTGATTCTTTCCTTCATTAATAGGGATCCACTTAAGGGAGCAAAATACCAATGCCTAGTGACAATTGATGGTGGAGAGAAATCTATCTTAGATCAGCATTAGGTTTTTGTTACCTGATGGAGGGATGAGAGATAAATACTTATTTATTTATTTACTTAAAGTCTTTTAATGTGATTCCTTTGTCATTAGGCAAGGGAGCTTAGTGTCTACTACAGAATCTTGTATGTGCTTGAATTCTGAGTAAAAAAGTAGGTTCAGAGCAGCTGTGTGGAAACACAAGGTCTCTGGACAGATGTCTTTTGCCTCTGGCAGCATTTCCAAGGTCTATATGGATACTGGCAATCTGAAAAACCTTCTGCTTTTTTTTTTTTTTTTTTTTTTAAGGAAAGTGAGGGAATTAAAAGTTTATTGTATATATTTGGATGAGAGCTTTGAAAGTATTTTACCTGCTCATGCAGTTATAACTCATATAGAAAATAGGCTAGACATCCTATTCATCACCCCCCCCCAACCAGACTTCTATAAATCAATGGTACATGTTATGCAAATCTATTTTGAAAGCTGACAAGGAAGCATACCAAATCATATCATGTAGAACCAGAAGAAGGTGTTCATATTTTTTAAAGCAGAAGCATACAATGCGTAATGTTGGATTGCACAGTACCACATCTCTAGTCTACTTTCAAAATGATGTTTGTGAGTACTTGTTTTCAATTTTTTTAAATAATTGTCTACTATGAATTGTAATTTTTTTTAAATCCACTTTATATAACAGAAGCAGTATCCAATTGATTAAGATTTAATAGCAGAACATGATGATCCATAGAAAGGAACATAAGGTCTTATTATGCTGTTTTTTTTTTCAGCCAGAATATGAATTATTATTTTTTTTTTCTAATAGATTCTATGTTCTCTGGATTCTATATCAGAGGCCTGATTAGCTTCATTCTACTGGGGGAGGAAGAGGAGGGTTGCTGCACACAGCCAGAGATACTCAAATTTCAGCAGAATTGCAGGATCAGCTGTAGAACTTAAAACATTTGATTTTGTAAGTAAAAGCAATCTGTAATTTTAATAAAGATTTTTAAAATTTAATTTAATCAAATAATAAATAAATAAAACCTTACATAACTCTTCGCTTCATAAACTTGTGCTTAGTTTCTGTGGTAAATTTTTAATGACTGTATGTCTTTACAGCACAGACTGCCAGATCAGATAGACAACTTTAGGGCTGGAAGTGAGGCTCAGGAAACATTTAGGTGCTGAAGTACAATCCTGTGTTTCTGGAGGAAGGTGCCTGCACCTGGGATGCATCAGAGGTGGTCAGAACCACCCAGGTGTCATAGCTCTGTGCTTAACTGTGGCCTCAGCCCAGCCAGAACCCAGAAATGAGGCACTCCTCCACCTCCGTTCCCACGAAGGGCTGATTCCAGAGGGCTTTGTAATAAAGCACTTAATGCACAGCACATGAAAGTGAGAATTAGTGCATTTTGAAGCACAGGTGATGCACATTCAGCAGCTGAGACTCATTCCATACCTCCCTCTGAGCTGAGGCAAGAGAGATGTTAAAGCTTTACCTACCATCTCCAAAAGGAGTGCAGTCACCTGCAGGCTATTGCACTTGGCTGTCTCTTCCATTTTGTTCATTGAACCTCTGCTGTCACCTAGAGAGAGGAATTCAAGCCTCCTGAGGGATCAAGCTGTAGGAAAGGCTCTCAAGTTGGGGGTCCTCTCTTAGACAGATGATATTACAATTTTTTTCTCTATACATTGACTTATCCTTGCTTATATCAAAACATTATTTAATATAAAATACATAAAAGTTTTAATAGCAATGAGAACACCCATAAGCCCACCTTCCAAAATGGCTCTGCTGATCATTAACTAAGGAGTCACAGTCATCCCATCTCCACTTCTGGTTTCATTAATTTGAGATTTGTTGCACACTTCTGCTGGTTCAAGAGCACTGATGAAAAGAGCACCTCTGCCACTGCTTGCTGGATGTGTAGGCTTTTGTGCCCATATCCTCCTAATGGATTTACTTGTAGTCCCACCACAGAATTTTATTTAAAATATACTTACAGATTCATCAACTTTTCAGTCAGCAAATTAGAACTGGAACAAAAAATCTTTCTCCTCATTTATACGGAGAACACAATTTTTTATTTTTTTTTTCCTAAGCTTCTGTTGGAAAATAAATTACTTAACTGATACTTTTTACTTGGAAATGAGTTTTGAATACTCATTTCATTTAAGCCATATCTTTGCTTAGATATAGAGAACACTGATCACAGAATATTGCAAAAAAAAAACATAAAGCATTTGGACTTGCCTATTTGCTTTTTTTTTTCCGTGAGAACAATAAGAATGGACTACAGAAAGGATAATTCAAAGAACCTAGCTATAGTGTGTTTTTTTTTTTTTTTTTTTTTTTTTTTTTTTTGTTTTTTTTTTTGTTTTTTCCTCGCTACGCTGAAGTTCAGGTCTTAGAGTCTCTGTTAACCATGTTATAGTTTTTTTTTTTTTTTTTTTTAAACTTAATCACCTCTTCAGTCACTGGGGCATAAAATAGGCTGTCATTACTGGCTACCATTTTTGCTCCAAGGCAAATTGCTTCCATGTTTTACAGCAGCCTGCTCCTGTGCTCTCAACCTCTCAGGACTTACATTACAATTTGGGGTATGGTGACTGTCCTACAGATCCTGCCTTTGGTACAGGTGAAATGATTTTAATCTTTAAAAGTAGCTGCTGTACACAACTGTTCACTTTTTATTAATTCTATTTGAACTACCTCTTTTGCAGGTAATTCTAGCACCTACGGACAGGAAAATTACATCTAAAATGAAGGTTATTTTTCAAACAATACCATTGTGTTATGAGTTAGATTTTCATGTATTCTACAGCTCGAGTCTGAAAGGACTTGTATTTTGCCATTTCAGTGGTTTTATTCTGAACCTAAATAGGCTGACAGTTTTTTTGGCTTACTCTGTTTTATATTCTCTAGTCTGGCCAACTGACTTTTTTTTTTTTTTTTTTTTTTTTCCATGTGCTTGTGATTAAGGCCTGCAAGTTTAGGCACTGAAAATTGCAAGTTGTGGTTGCTTTTCTCCTCTACTGCCCTGAATAGAGCCTGATGGGTAGGATACTATTTTAGAGGATGGAAGATGTGTCTGAACATCTTAATGCTCAAAGGGATTTCCATATTGCTCTCCCACATACTATAGGCCTGCTTTCACAACTAAATATCTCTCACTGTGATTTTAAAAAAAATAATAAGCCCTGCTGTGTTCTTGGTAATAGCATTTGTAACTGCCAGCTCTTAGGAGAGTGCTTTAGCCTCTGCTTGCCATACAGGTAAAAGCTACCTCAGGAACATTAACTCTGCAGAAGTAATAAGATTATGGATTTTCAGTTGTTCTCTAGTAGTCTCTCATGTGCTGATGCTTACCTGATCCAGCAGTGAGCTGGTTCAGATTTTCCAGCCAGCTGGCTCCATAAACTGCCTTTCCATGATGTCAGATAAATGTCAGCTTGGTGCTTGACTGTCCAGACTCGGAAAGGTGGTGGGACTGCCCCTTTTGGCTGCAGTCAGTCATTAGATAACTTAGATGTATTCTCAAACTGCCCTTCTCTGCATATGGGGTTTTGAATTGTGTTTCTGTAGCACCAAACTGATTTTTATTTTTTATTTTTGTGTTGCTGACACATCTGTAGGCAGACTCTGCAGTGTCTCAGACACACACAGGATGTAGATTGTTTGCAGAGGTCAAATGTGTACAAGGACAAGAGATCCAACGCATTCATGACTTTGCCAGAACCAATGAGTGTGTGAACAGAGTGTTGAGTTTTTTCTTCTGTTCAAAGTAATATGTAGAGAATATTTTTAAAGTACACATGATTAAGCAAATGTAATCCACTGAAATGATCTAAAATAAGCTTTTAAACTATAACATCTGTCCCTTAAATTATCCAGACCAATTAGCTGTTATTTGTCTTCATGCTAAGTTGTATTTATTTATTTATTTTATTATATCTAATGAAAGTCAGATGCCAGAAATCACAAAACTGCATTGTTAACTGAACAACTGTATTTTCCAAGGAACTGGACCATGGATTTAATTTTTAATGGAATAAATGGATTCAAACTTTAAAACTGGTTGGGGAAGATATTCAAATCCTACTGTTAAAAAAAAAATAGAATAAATGTCGGATCAGTTTCATTCCTGTGATTTACCTGCTTTCTGCATGGAGGAAAGTTAAGACAGCCAACATACTGACTTACAAAAAGTAATTGATCAACATGCGCTAGTTGTTTCCTAGTCTTGTACTATTTTTTAACACTTTTTTTTTTTTTTTAAAGACGGAGCATTGTCTAGTCTGAAACAGGCACAGATCAACGTAATGTTTATGGCTGTTCAGAACTGCAATCTTATTCAAGCCAAATTTTTAATACCATCATGCAGAGGAGGAGCAGAAGGAAAGTACACTGATTTCCTATAATACCAGCTGATACCATCTGATATGTAGTGGAAAGGTCATAGGGAAATTAAGCCAAATATTATTTGGAAGAAAGTATCAAAAGAAAGAAGAGACAAGTGTATGAAGTTAAATCACTCACTTCATTTACAATTACACAACAGAAAACTGAGCTGACTGAAAGAAGAATGTGAGAAAATTCTGGCACCAGACATCCCCTGCCTGTGTTGTAGCTTTCAGAAATACCTTAACTTGGCAATGCAGCTTTCTCCCAAGGGCTCTCTGCAGTCCATCATCATGCTCCATGTCCAACAGACAACAGCTTTGTTGATTTAGAAAACAAATGACTTACTGAATTTGTGCACCAAGTATCAAGGTCTCTTGATGTATTTATTTTCTCAGTTAAATGAATAAACATTTTTGATCTAATGTCCAGAACAGGATAACTTCATTTTAATAACTTATTTAAATATTAAAGTATCACTATTATATTAATATATTAGAACACAAGTATTAAAGCATAGAAAATGAATAATAGTAACAGGTAAAGAAAATTGCTTAAAGTTTACTATTTCTGCTGTGTGTAGCAAGAGACAAGAGAATAGGAAGCAATTAATTTCTACCTATTTCTCAAAGCATAATGAAGAAAAAAAACAGCATTCCAAATATTCTTCAGGCCCAGAAATTAAACTAAACATTCATAAAATCGTTTCTGTCACAACTTTTAGGGCAACTAGTGCTGGCTGGTCTCATCTTCATCTCTGTTATCCAAGATTGGGCTTTATACGTCTGACAAGTTTTGGACAAGAAATAAACTTGCCTATGTTTAATTCTTTCTTTATTGCCTTGAATTCAGTTGTATCTGGAAGTGAGGAAACTATCCACCACGATGTTTTTTTACCTCTTACTTTTGAGAGGAACCTCTTTGAATGTCAGTGGCAATTCAAAGAGGTTAATTAATCTCTTGAGAGGGATGCTAACTATTCACAGTTGGCAACCTTGAAATTGTTTCACAGATTACAAACAGGAGACCAGAGCTCCTTGATTCAGTCCCTATTGTCATATTTGGCCACATGCTTGCTAAAAATCTGCAGCTTTCATTGCATAAAATTTGGAAGCTCCTCTCTGGGAAGTTTCCCAAATGCTTCCCTCCCCCAAAACAGAGCAAAACAACAACAAAAAACATAACAACCAACCAAAACCAAACAAACATACAGAAATCAACAATGACCTCAATAGCCTTAAAGTGAACTCTGAGTGAACAAAACACACATGATGGCAAAAAACCTGGATTCCTTTGTGAAGTCTAGTACTTCTAACTTACTTGTGGTCAGAGGAGGGAAGCTGGCTCATCATTCTGGAATTTGAATGGCAAATTCTGAGCAGGTGGTGTTTCACAAAATACTAGTGGATCTGTTTCTTGTTCTGAATGGAAGGACTGCTTCTCCTCTCAATGAAGCTTTGGATCCAGACTTAATTTGATCACTAACAGAATTTTAGAAATGTTTGTGCCCTTTCAGCCCTGTTCTTTCATCATCAAATTCAACTTGCCTGAATAGGTATCTACATTACATGAAAGCAACATTACATGAAAGCCCAGCACAGTTTACTAGAATCTGTCCCTTTCAGATTGTAAGCCACAAAATATTCAAGAGATTTAGTGTTAAAGATCAGAAATGTACATGGTACAGGATGCCATAGAATGAGAGAAAGAGAAATGATAAGAGAGAAAGAGGAAAAAATATATGCCATGTGCTGTTCCCCATATTGGAGATTAAAGTGAAAATAACAAAGAAACCTTTTTCTTGTAAATTTTTATTCAGGGAATATTTCTCTGCCAATCTGTTTGTTCCTAAGCATGGGAACATGACATGCTAGCCAAGTATCATGGAATTGAATTGTGTGTTTGACTGATGACATCCTGGAGAGCTGCTAGGAAAGTTGGGAGAATGCGTGGTTTGGGTCACCAGAAGGAAAGAAGCAGAATTTTAGTCTGACTGATGAACATTATTGTCTCCAAAGTTGGTATAAATGTGTAGTACACACCCCTTGTGTGCAAGAGAAAATTAGAAGTCTTAGCCACAAATTCAAAAAGTATGAAGACTAAATTTCATGTTACTTCTCAGATTTCCCATGAAGTCTTCACCTTCACCATGCCCACCATCTTTTAAAGGTGTTGAAGTCTGATTGCATTTCATTCAACAGCCAGGCTCCAGTTACTGTCTTCCTGTTCGTGAGGATTTAGTAAGTTAGTAAGGTTTATGATTTATAATTTTGTTACAAGCTTAACGTGGAACACCTGGAACTCCTGCCTCTATTGCAGTTCCCACCAATAAATTTTACAATTGCTATGGTGTCTGTGCTTGTAGGCTTTTAATATTCAGATAAGTTGTCTTGCAGTTACCTGGATTTGTAGTTTCATAGTAGCTGCTTAAATGAAATACTTCATGTTGAACAACTTGATTTTTTTTTTTTATTATTTTCAATACAATTTCTGATTGGTTTCATACCTACTTATTTCTTAGATGCCAAAATTTCTCCATGATAGTACTCCTGGTTACATAACCAGTCCAATTTGCAGCTTATGTGTCATTTGATATTGGAATTCAAAATGCTGGTGTTTTTGTTGTTGTTTCACAAGTCTGAAACAAACACATTAAACAAATACATTTTTGTGGCTTAGTATTGTGATAACTTTGCAGAACATAAAATTAATTTGTCAGAATTATAAAATGTCTTCTTGCTTATTAGAAGTTATTGTAACATGAAATAATAACATAGTTCTCATATCAGCTGCAAGTTTTATTGTCCACTAACTAGTAACCAAAGTGTTAGATCTTCAGCTCCTGTAAAGTGCCACCTTACCATTTAATCCTATAGAGCACACTGCTTATGGAAATAAGAATTTGTCCTTATATAATGGCTGCACAGGAAAAACAGTAAAAGTAGTTTTCATTAGGATAAAATGAATTTAACTAAGGCTAAAACTCCAAAAACTAATTTGTGATTCTGATCATATGTCTCAGTTATTTGAAACTTGCTGTCATCTATCTGTAGCCTTGCAAAAACAGAGTTGCCATAAAGAGGCTTTGGATGAACTCACTAAAGCAACAGAAGTTTCATCTATCCCTAAGGTAAATCTGCAGTGGAATTTTATGGTATGTATGTTGCATAATAACACACTATTTTGTGGGGAGAAGAATATCATAGATTTAGTGAAATGCTGCATTTTTGATCAGGGAGTATATCAAAATAGCATTTTTTTTTTTTAATATACATTGTCCTGTTTTAGTTTTGTCATTTTTTATCACATTAGATTTATTCTAAACTGAGTGACAGCTGCATCTTAGGATAAAGTTACAGTACAGCAAAATTAGATCAGTGAATGCAATAAACAATACTACATTTAGAGGCTCAGATCAGACTGAGCTACAAATAATCCATCTTCTGAATATATTAGGTTATCTTATGCTTGCACATTACATTAAGCATATTAAAAATTGACTTGTGAGGTATTGCTTTTTATTTATTTTTTGAGTAAAATTAGGTATTTTGTTAGGTACCGGAAAGGAAAAGCTGAATTTCTCTGTTTCCCTACCCAAATAACCCCTATCATTAGGTTTTCTATTTAATGGTGTTTCTGAAATCATGGAAAACATCTTGATCCTTCCAATATACTTGAATTTTTTTAAATTATGTAGTTATGAAATTATATCTACTGCTAATATTTGGTTGACCTTACACAACTCTGAGAACTCTTGTAAAATATTGTACATTTAGAGGTTTTGGGGGTGCCCACCAGTTTGTAGGATCAAATCTTTTCAATAAAACATTATTTTTCCTAATCTTATGATTAATGTTTATTAAGGTCAATAACACATAATAACACATATGTGGAAATGGATCCCTCTTTATGTTTTCATTTCTAAAATTTATCTGTGGTGCATTTATACTTATTGATTAAACATGCTGATAATTGTAAGTTTGCATTGGCTTTGCAGGTTTTTTTCTGTAATCTTATTAACTTTTTTTTTTTTTTTCATTTTTTCCCTCCAAGGGAGTAAATTGATTTATACGAGCGTGCTGTTAATGTTATAACTCCTTGTCTAGCCCCTTGGGTTCTAATGTTTTTTAAGCACAGTACAATTATGGGAAACATTATGTAGGAATGACAGCATAAATCATCCCCATAGGAGTCTGAACAGTCTGGGGAGTAATCATATAGAGCCCTGCTGAGGTAAATAAAAACAGTAATTTGAAATAAATAGAAGACCAATGGTGCTAATGTGGATGTCTCAAGAATATCATTAAGTTTGTAATGACAATGTTTATTTGGTGTAACGATATTGGATGTAGTGTAATGCTGGTGCTTATATCATAACTTTATAGTTCATGATCCTGTCTTTTTCTTCAGAGAGCATAGCAAGTTGGCTGTGACTCCAGAGCTGTCCTCCAAACACCAGCACTTTCTCAAAGAGCATATGCATGTGTGAAAAGTAGCAAGGTTCTCTAGGACTTTGGTTAAATTTAGTATCAACTATTGACATTCCAGGTATAAAAATATGCTTGTGGGGATGGATTTGTTCTTTGTTTCCTGTTCCTGTTTACCATAGTCAAGATGTCGGAAAAGTAGGAAAATTAAGTACTAAAAATATTTTATCTGACATTCATTCACATACAGCAGTGTTGTTTAGGTTCAACTGGAGTCTTAGCCCACTTTGCACTCTGAATGCAGAGTGAATTGGACAGCTGGGTAGCCTAGTGGACTTCTTGATTCACAGTAACTTCTTCATCAGTAATTAATACTTATTGATATTCCAATATATTTTTCCTCTGTTGACCTGCAGGGGAATTTAAGTATGAGTTTAGGATACACAGTAAAAGCAGTTAATCTGAAAATGAATTTTTATCAATCTGTAGGTCTTTAATGTGTATAAACCTATATAATAGAAAAAAAAAAAAAAAAACAACTTCAAAAATATGATCTTTTCATAAAAAAAATTATTCCTGCAAAATTAATTCAACATCACACATAAAAGTATAATGCCCATTATACAGTTACTATTACATTATTATTATTATATTATTAATACTATGGTATTAAAATAAATGCTATTGGATGTTGCCTTTGTTGTACATACTGATTTATTCCAACATAACATATAAAAGCTTATTGTCGTAGAACATTACTTATTAATATTGGCTGTTTTTATTTTTATTTTTTATATTTTAATATTACCTAGGAACAGGTAATATAGCTTTCAAATGAGTGATGAAATGTTTTCCCTAAAAGTTCTTAGAATTTGAAGGAGACTAATTTTCTGTATATTCACTGTTCAGCTTTCAAATACTGTTCTGCAGTACGGTCTTATGCCAGAACAGAGTTTCTGGGAAACGTTTCATATCATGAAACAGGGTTCTTTGAAAATATAA